TTGCCTTAGCAGTGAAACTTTCCGATCGAGGTAAGAAACAAAGTTCGACATTAAATTGCAATAGAATTGTCCAGATTGGACGACGTTTTGTTATAGAAGGGGCAATGATTGATCATGATTACTTAAGTACACATTGGTCATTCATATCGCTGATGCAACACGCCACTTACATAGGTTGTGACTTTTGGTTGTTGAAAAGACTCTCAAATTACCCGAAGACCAATTCCAGAAACCGCTCTTATTTCACTGATGTAATCACAACTCCTAGAGAGAAAACACCACTGCATGGATGAAGGAATGATTATGCTCACGCAGGGAAGCGAATGATTTACAGGAAGCGAGCAACTGTCAACTCAGTATCCCTTCTACTTTTGATGCAAATTCATAGCCCTGCAAGCTTTGATCCAGTAAATGATTTAAAATACAACAAAATAAAATCAAAACCAGATGGATTTAAAAACATGAAAATTTAGAAGGCCGATTAAGCAGTACATCGGTCACAGAATTCATGTTTTATGTAGACATAGTAAAAAAGAAAAATCTTGAATCAGTAACTGAATATCCTTACCCATCACTTGTACAGTCGAACCCATCGTAGAAACAACTTGATATCGAACACGCATGATCACAGACGCCATCGCGATACCGTTCGACACAGGTTGGTTGGCCAACACTAAACTCCGTTTTGGTTGCCTCGAGGCAATCAATCCACGCTTTGCAGGCATCCAACTGCTCCTGGTTGAAGCATCCAGCTTGAATACACCGTCCAGAACAGGTGCCATTCGTCTCCGCGGTGCCAGTGCAGCCCAACAGCAAGCAGTGCTCCTCCAGGTCGTTTTGAGTATCACGTTTCTTAGTTGATTGGTTGGAGAGGGCTTGATTGATAGGCTCTTCGCAGAAAACGCCCTCATAGCCTGTAAAGACAAGAATCAATTCGTAAAAGTTTGGACGTCAATTTGATGCACAATAACAGATCATATCTATAGCTGCTGGTCGAAATGGACGGAAGGTGTGTTGAATGTGGCAAGTTGAGCTTGTCCCGCTACAAGAAATTGCAACCGCACATTTTAGTATTTTGGTCATGATAATAACTATTATGAGGAAGCCCCAGGATCACTAGCAAATTAAAAATTTCTCAGGTGACATCAAAGGCTTAGCGGTTAATTTGAGCATGTAACCAAGCCGTATCGGCGTAATTGCGACCTTAATTCAATAATGCTGGCTTTGACTTCACAGGTAGTACCAGGTAATATTATTAGTCTCGCCTGCGATGCTTTTTCTTATCCAAATCAACCGTGCAGCCACACCTGTCTTGGACTCTACGCTTGTGCAATTCACGTCTTAGATGATATTTCTTGCAATTTTCGATCAGACCAAGCAGCAGGGCTTCACAACTATAGGTTATCACCAGGTGGACAGTAAGAGATGCTAACAAGGGTGCTATCATTTCTTACCAGCGATCCGATGCCTATAAACTCCTGGCTTTCATGCCCTTTTTATGGTATGGCTACTTTGAAACGAGCATTCATAACTCAAATGCTACGACTCACATCCCTTAAAGCACACCGTAGCAATGAGTTATTTCACTAGCAGGGCCCACCTTCAGGACAACGACATTCATAATGTTCACCCTTTGCAACGCACTGGGCTCCGTTTTGACATCGATGACGTAGGCAGACATCAATGGGATGGTTACAGACGACACCCGTCCAACCGGGATCGCAGATACAACGAAAGCTCGAAATAAGGGAGGCTGTCTTTGTCTGGTTTTGCACACGAGTTTCAAAGACCTCGTAGAGCGTCTCACAGGTTCCATGTTGGCACTGGTTATGCGGTGGATCACAGGGCATTTTGGGCTGAAAAGAAAAAGCAGGCAACAAAAGTTACTGGCTGATGTTTCTGCACTTTCTCACCCTCCAGAAGTATAGACTGGACACCTCTAAACGCAGATGTGTTCGTTAAAGCATTTGTTGGGCGAGTAGAAGCATGCGGACAGGCACTTCCGCATACTTCGGATCACATCGGACATATTTGGAGAAATGCCTATGAAAACGCATATTATAGTTTTTGTCTGCCTCACAGTGGAGGCACACAACTCCTATCACCAACATTTTAGTCTTTTTCTAACAAATTCCTGTCAATGCTCAGGATGGTCTGAGCGTTGGTAATGCCAATAAAAAATTATTGACAACGCTGGAGTGGGTAATTAAGTAGGATAATTTAAATCACCGCTCTTGTCATTCTACCGGATCCGGGTGAATGTAAAATGGAGGAGGCGACTCCGCAAATACCCACTAAATGCCCCAGGAACTCGAAAAAAAAAAAA